TAGGGGATGGGTGGGTGCTTACCGTGAAGTGATGAAGGAATCGAGGAGACTGGACAGGTATGAAAAATTTCTTCTACGCTGAAATGTTATGGAGTTGTACTTTTGAGAAGGGTTTTTGGAGGTTAAAAACGACAGCGTTTTGACGTTTATTTTGTAATGTCACGTCGTTTTGATCGTGGCGGCGCTGTCGTTTTAGGATGGATCAACCATGTACGAAATGGATTTGGAGATCAGGTTTTGGGCCTAGGCCCAGATTTTATTTTCTTAATTTCTTGTTTATTTTGACTTTTTTCAGTTTATGCGTCTAATTTTAAAAAGCGTCCTTTCTATATTTAGTAGTAGCTTTTAATTCCAACATTCCTATTTTAACTCCTTTTGTATGAATGGCATGATATGTTTAAGATCACAAAATTTAATGGTATTGTTAATATGTTATACACCTCTTAGTTTAAGTCTTTAAAAGCACAAAGATTCTTAAACTCCGCGTCTAATTAAATTAAGACAAATAAATCAAGTTAGCGGAGTGACGAATTAAAGCATGAAAAGAATTTCCAATCATGGGTTGTAATGTCAATTCATGATTGCAGCTCATTGATGAGTATACATGGTTGGTGGATTTTACTCCAACTCGGTGTTTAGTTTATGGAGACACGTGTCATTTATTTATTGGATTGATGTAAATATCAGATGTACAGAAGTACACTTTCTTTTTTTTGATTCCTCTTTGTTGGAGCTAATGCTCATTTGGTGACTCGAACCCACGCCCACGGGGTTGTAATGTTCAAAAGTACACTATAACAGTTCATATTATACTATAAAACAACAACTACTATGACTCAGTCCCAAACAAAGTTGGTAGACAATATGAATCCTCACTTTTTTCTTTAAACTCAAACTCATATAACCAAAATAAAATAAGAGTAGATAACATAAATAAAAGAAAAATTAAATAAACCAAAGTGTTATTTTCATTTCAAATAGCAGTGTCTGCATACCAGAGAGGGGAGCATATCTCCATCTGAAATCACTAAAAAGAGAAGAGGAAAAGCTACATTCGATCTTATACACAGTAAATGGCATTGGTTAGGACAGCAAAACCTAACATCTTTGCCAAAACTCTTCAAATCTTCAGAGAGGAATATCTGCAATATGCGTCTCCTCTCCGCCTCCAATATAGTAATATATCACCTCATAAAAGAATAAAGAACAAAAGAATGAACAACTTTGATGTGTATGAGTTACAAACTATGTTATCTACAGCCCTGGCGCTGACTTCCTTTCTGTGCCGGGAGTTGCACGAGGATCTTCTGATTCTCAGTAGCAGAAAGCGCTCTGTATAAGGCTTTAGCCGTACAAAGTCACCCCGCCATCAGGATTCAGGAGGGGAGTTATCTCAACCTTTTCTGTTCGGTATGACTCCTATTGCTATCTACCATCCTGCAGCTTTCAAAAAATTGTCATACGGACTTGATGCTGGTAGTCTGAACGTCTCCGGATTACTTTGACATTGAGCTCCACAATGCCAGTCGACAGTTCCGGGTGATGGTTTTTGAGAAACATTGGCCGCTTTCTGATCTACGAGTTGGTTTTTAACCTGCCCCTATAAAGTAGTGAAGAGTAAGTTTAAGATCAACGTGGATTAAATGTGATACTGTACAAGTTATCGGAGTATAACTTGAACCTTATAAAGGAGATTACAGCATGTAAACAAGTCTAGAAATGCAAAGTAAGAGGAGTTCTAACTGTTAAAGAGTATAAGTTAACTTGTAAAAACAGTCCTAAATATCAACAATAAATGAAACTCATTTCAGAATGGTCATGCAAGAGTTGAACTGCTGGAGTTATCATGTAAAGCAGGAAAATTGTAGCGCTGCATTTACTGTAAGTTCGTTTTCCATAAAAGATATAACCCAGCTATCCGTTTTGCCAAAGTAGGACAGAAATGGAAAAGCAAATGAATAAGAGAATGGGGAAAAAGGAGAAAAAAGAAATGGTTAGTTTATAGAACTCAAAGAAAACCAAAAAGAAAAAAGAAAAACTACTGCTGAGACCTGATTCTCAACCTGGTTATGGGAAGAGCTTTCTTTGTCCTGTTCACTGGAATTCTGTGATATTCTGATCAGTGCACTATCTTGTCGATGTTGGCTATTCATCAAATTGTACATCCTTTGTTGTTTTCCCGTTAAAAGTGTCTCACAATGATGAGTCATTTCTTTGTAAGAAAAATCAGGTTCATTGCTCAAAGATATTCTCCCTACTTGATGTGCCGTCTCCAAAACCTTCATTTGGAGCAGACAAAGTTAATTTTAGATGATCAGATCAAAATAGAAAACTAAAAAATATCGGCCAAAGGATTAAGTGGTACTCCACAAATATTTGTCAAGACAAGACAAACTAAAGAGCCATCAGATGAGGTTGGTTTTTCTCATAAGCACAGAAAGGAGGCATGAGAATATGCAAGTTCGCTAGAGGTGAGAAATGCAGAATAGCAACATGCACACAAAGAAAAGTGTATCAGAAACGGAAGGAGTAATAGCAACATTTCACGAGTACAGCTAGATGTAAAGCTTTTTGTCAGAGATCATAGTGCAGAAGCAATAGGTTAGACAAATTGCTATTACTCCTTCCGTTTCTGATACACTTTTCTTATTAGTCCGTCTAAAAAAGAATGATATATTTCTATATTTGGAAACAATTTAACCTTAAACTTTTCATTTTACCCTTAATGAGAAAGCTTTTATAAACACACAAAAGTATAGCCCCCGAAAGCTTTTACCCTTTAAGCTTTTAAAAGACCACAAGTTTTAAAAGTCTCTTTTTTTCCTTAAACTCCGTGTTGAGACAAACTATGTCCATAAATTAAACGGCAAAGGGCCAAATATACCCCTGTACTTTCGAAAATGGTCTAAAAATACCCCTCGTTATATTATTGGGCTATATATACCCTTTCCGTCATACTTTGGAATAAATATACCCTTATTTTGGATGGAGTGTCACGTGGCAGCACCAGATGAAAACGACCCATTTCTTTTTTTACCCGACCCGTTTTAAAAAACCCACCACCCGACCCGTTTTAAAATTCAGTTTTTTTAAAACATATATTTTGTAAAAACTGGATTTTGTTTTTGTAAAAACTGGAAAAAAAAAAAGGAATTTGCAAAATATATATTTTTAAGTCTTTGCAGTTTTTTTAAAGTATTCTTTTTGTAAAAACTGGAAAAAAAAGACTCTCCTAAAGCAGTGGACTACATATGCATTAATTTTTAAAAAATGAAAATATTTTGCAAATTTTTTTTTTTCAGTTTTTACAAAAATAATACTTTAAAAAACTGAAAAATATATATTTTGCAAATTCCTTTTTTTTTCAGTTTTTACAAAATATGTATTTTTCAGTTTTAAAGCATTTTTTTAAAAAATATTTTTTTGTAAAACTGAAAAAAAAAAGGAATTTTCAAAATATATATATTTTAGTTTTTTCAGTTTTTTAAAGTATTTTTTTTGTAAAAATTGAATTTTTTTTTTAAAACTAATGCATATGTAGTCCACTGCTTTAGGAGAGTCTTTTTTTTTTCCAGTTTTTACAAAAAAAATACTTTAAAAAAAACTGAAAAGACTTAAAAATATATACTTTGCAAATTTTTTTTTTTTTTTTTTTTCAGTTTTTACAAAATATATGCTTTGAAAAAACTGAATTTTAAAATGGGTCGGGTGGTGGGTTTTTTAAAACGGACCGGGTAAAAAAAAAAATGGGTCGTTTTCATCTGGTGTTGCCACGTGGCACTCCATCCAAAATAAGGATATATTTGTTCCAAAGTATGACGGGAAGGGTATATATAGCCCAATAGTATAACGAGGGGTATTTTTAGACCATTTTCGAAAGTACAGGGGTATATTTGGCCCTTTGTCGTAAATTAAAACGCAGGGAGTAATATTATTGTATAATATGGTTCTAAGATGAGATTAAATGGAGCGGCATGGACAGAGAGGATATATCCCTTGCTTGCTTGGGACTGAGACATAGTTGTTTTTGTATAAATAATAGGTTAAATAAACATTATATTCGAAAGCCACTTACAGATTCTAAAAGTTGATTGACACTCAACAGATTGGGAATTTCCATGGCGGATTGTTCATTCTGTTTGGAACTGCTTTGAGACAAATCGGGACCATCATCATCTAATATTGAGGACAGCTGCACAACAGTAGAAAGAATGATCAAATAAAGAAAATGAGGATAGAAGTGTATCCCGAAATAAATTTCGCCCTCCAGATGCTTACATCAACTGAATTAGACTGCTGAACTCTATGTTGAGCATCAGCTAAAAACTGAGACCCCAAGGAATCCGAATCATCTGGTGAAAATTCCTTAAGCAACTCTTCCCTTGTAGCTGACACTTCAAACTAGGTGCCAAAATAAGTTATATTAGGGATCAATGCTTAACCAGGGAACCACTATATAGTTGTAAAAATTAGCAGCGAAATATTTACATCTGGTAGATTAGATAAGCTCTTCAGGATTAAAGAAACCAAGGATTCTGTTGACTGTTCTTCAGTGATATTTATTTGCGAGAGACATTTCTGAGCGGAACTATCATCTTCTTTGGATCCATATATAACTTTTCCATAACCAGAACTTGAATCAGCAGCTTGTAGTTTGCTATCTTCAACCAAATGTAAAAATGGATCAACCTGAAAAATGCAATGAAGGATTCCCATGTATTATGACCCGAATAGAAATTAATATAATAATACTGAAAAGGAACAATATATTACACCAAAAAGTAGTTTTTCATCAGTTCAGCTGCTAGTAGAAACCAGGTTGACATGCAATAGAAAGAACAAAGACCACAGAGGCGAACAAATGCATATAAAGCTTGTGAAGAATTGGTTACCAACCGTTTTATCTGAAAGTGTAGCCTTGACACACGGAATGAGAGAAGGTATATTATATGCCTTTGATGAGAAAAGAATCATTGATGTCGCCAACACAAACAGAGATCTTTTACGTGATGGTGGTAGTGACCCTGAAAAAAAAATCATAAGAACTTTGATCTAAAGATCCTTGAAATAAAAAAAATGTACAAGGGAGCATGCAGGAGGGATATCAAAAACTCAAAAGAGATAAGCTGAACCATTTTCCCAGTAAGGAAGGATCATAGTGTTTGAGAATTCTCACATGAGTTATTGCCAAGAGTTTCAGTAATTGAGTAGTTCTTGCCTCATAAAAGAAAACTGCATCATTGACAAGTCTTTGCCTTAAAGGTAAAAGCGAATGAAGCTCTGTGCAGCCAGGGGCGAAGCCACCTTTTGCTAAGGGTGGTCAATTGTATATAAGTAAAATATTAGATTTAGATGTATATAACATATATTGAATACCCTTTGTCGGGAAATTGTTTTTACTTCTTTCAAGTTTGAATACCCTTGGAGAAATTTCTGGCTTCGCCACTGTGTGTAACATGCGTCTAAGCATTGCTATCAAACACCAACGACAACATGAACTCTTTAATTGGTATGAACTAAGCGCTTTCCTATTTTCAGGTGTTTGGTTCTCTCATCTTGTTAATAGTAATCTCTTTGATGAAAATGTTATAAACTCAAAGGTAAGAGAAACTTAGTAAGATAGATAATTTGCAGAGAGTGGGATTAGTCTACTAGGATATCCAAATGAGAAATTTTCAGTCAACATTGAAATGTAAGTCCAAAAACCTTCAATCAATTAAAAATGGATCACGTTAACTTGAAAGATACTAGGGACATAAGAAATGTGGCAAGTGATATTTGTTCTCATGTTCCTAGAGCTCCAATGAGACAATTACTTACCACCCCCTCTCAGAATATAATGGAGGAAGGAATTAAAGGGAAAGAAAAATCTTAAGCAGTTTCGCACCACAGAGAGCATATATGATGTGGCAGTTTTACCTCCTTCAACGAGTGCGACATTTCTTAACGAAAATGCAAGCTGAAAACTTTGCACTAGAGCTTCACGGTATGAGTGCTGCACAAGTACATGAAGATAATTTAAATTTAAGAGAATATAGGAAAGGATATACGGATACGTACCAACACATGTTTGTTCACGCTTAAGTTCCTTTACCGATTTAACATAACATAGAAAATTGCCTCATCCAATTACCTTTGCTCTAGAAAATAGCAAGACCAGGCTAAATGTGTGAGCAATGGCTTCATAATTCTCAGGCATATTGGCAGGAGAAATGGATTGTACCCATAGTGAGGAGAGCAGGAGTACGATTTGGTGGCTGCTGAGTCTTAGAGATTTAGGACCCTGAGGATCATGAGGAAATTAATTTTCACTACTTGGTGAAGTCAAATGAAACAGAATCAAATAACGCTACTACATTGTATAGCTTTCAATCCCAAATTTAAAGACATGTTTTATATAACAGTTATATCAGCAATGCGATATCAGAGTGAATTGCTAAGTCCAATGTCCAACATATCCACTATATGAGTGTTCTGAATATACGGATGTTAAGATGGATACACGATTAGAAAAGATTAGAAACTTTTTCGTGTAATGCGAATGAATGTTTGAACTCTAATGCCCAACATATACACTATATGAGTGTCGTAATATACAGCTATTATGATGAATGCATAATTAGAAAAGATTACAAATTATTACATTTGATAGAAGGTACAAGTAGCACTACGGAGACCTCCAAATACAACGATATGTTGGTGAGATACTACAATGATAAAAGGTGTTACAAGGTGAGGAGACAGACCTAAAATCATATACTCCTCCATCCCAGTTTATGTGAACCTATTTCCTTCCTTGTCAGTTTCGGAAAGAATGACCCCTTTCTACACTTGGAAACAATTTGACTTCTTATTTTACCCTTAATGATAAGCTTCTATAGCAATACAAATGTTAAGGCATGTTTAGGATCACAAATTTCAGAAATCTAATAGCTACACAAATGTTATAGTATGATTAGGACCACGAGTTTCAAAAGTCTTCCTTCCTTTCTTAAACTCCGTGCATGGTCAAATAGGACATAAATTGAAACGAGGGGAATACATAAAAATTGTCTCAAAAGACCATGGATTTCTCGATACTAAACAAAATACATAATCTGATAAAAGCAAGATTCACATAAAAATATACGAACTAATTAGGATTAAGGCTTTGTCGTGTTGGTACATGTACATCAGGTCCAATGTTTTGCCAGGAGTCCTTTTAGTTTGTCGTAGACTTGCATGTTAGTGTAGGATAAGTGTGTGATTTTTAGAGAAATCCTAGTATGTCTTAAATAAGACAAACTACTCAGTATTGGAATGAAATGGATCCAAATAGAATGGACAGGATATTGAGTATTTATATAGCCAACCCCAACTTGGTTTGGGTTGAGGCATTGTGGTTGTTGTTTGTCCCTATTATTGTAAGCAAGCTTCCAATCATTTTCAGCAGAGGATGTTCAAGAGTGTGCAGCAAAATAAGCTATTGTCACAGATTAAGCAAGTCAGCCGTCAAACCGTGCAAGTAATTTAATTGTCAAGTATGTAAAGAGAGGGTAAAAGCTTGAGTAGTAAAGAATAGCAGATACTAAGTCCCATGATGTAAAGCCAACAGAGTGGTCATGCCAAGGAATCTAAGAGTAACAAAGTGTATAATACTAAGATGGTGAAGATGGTTACAGAACCTGCCGCTTCCTTACTTGATTTGTTTGTACACTCTCCAACAGGTGCAGGAGAGCCTATCGTGTTATATACACCGCTATATGTTGATTTTATTCTGTTGAGCATCCCGCTGTTGTTATCTTTCTGTTCCGTCTCAAGGGTAATATTCTCCGCCGAAGAAGACCTCTGGTCTCTCAGCTTTCCAAAAAGAGCAGCTGAAGAAGAGAAGACGGAAACAGTTCTAGAGAGTGCCCTTGAAAAATCTGTTGCCTTCCTTTGGTGGGTGTCCTCCGGTATCTTCTGAGGAGAAACAGAAGATGGAACAAGGACAACAGAAAAGATTCGATGAGCTCCAACTCGTGTTTCATGATCAGGGTGGACCATAGCAGGGAGTAACTGATGAAATAAAGCCTCTGGGAATGCCTAAATATATAAAGAGAAGTCAGATTCTTAACTCAATATCCGTCGGGAAAATCTATGAAAGCAAATAACAGTCTAACAAATTCAAATGTTAATCAGCCTTACTTTGTTTTGATATGACAAATTTGGCATAGAAGCTATGATTTGAGAAGCACGGTAAGCAGCAGCAATAGTAGTTCTTGCTATCACTTTGATACTTGAGATGTTCTCTAACATTACTGCCATCACATCAAGAATAGGTCCTGCATCTCCAACCTAACAGTCAAGGAAACAAAGAATCATGACTTCCGAATACCCATCAATAACAACAAGTTTGGTTAAGACAGCTCTGACGAATTTACGTAGAATGCAACTTATTTGATATTCAAATCCAATGACAGATTTACTGCACCTTATTTGATAACTCCACAAGGCATTCATCCACAGCTTCCTGGAAACTTCGGTTCCACTTTATTAACTCGGCTCCCAGCTTTGCATCGTCAAGCGTATAATGTATACTTTTCCGTAAGTGCCTCATGATATCGGTCACTGCACTGACTAGAGCCATGGAATGATGAATCTTTGTGGTTTGAGCAAGCGAAGTCACAACCTGAACAATGTCAAGCTGCATTTCAGGTTGTTTAAGAACATTTTTGTGATCTAGGTGCTTGACTAATATTGACAGCAGAAGATGTGCATTCTCTCCTGCACAATTGAATAGGGGAATGAGAAATTAAAAAAGTGAGAAAAAAGGCATTATGAATGTTATCTACAAGGAAAATATAATACTAGTAAGAGTAGAACCAAAAGTAATGAAATATTTTTTAAATGAAAGATAACAAAGAGCAAATAAGAGTGCCAAAGAATAAAAAGAAGATAAAATAAAGGACTAACTTCTCCCTTTCTTTTTTCTCTTTTGATAGGTAAAGGGAGTAACTACAAACCTGAAGCATCCATCGTGTACTGCATATCCTTTAGAATAGGTAAAGCAATTCCAGTTTCAGTAGGCCATAAATTGTCGTCATCAAAGTAGCAGAATAAAGATTCCAAAACTCTCCGTGTGGTTGTAGCCTCCTTACCTAGTTTGGCAATGTTATGCAGGCAAATCCTGGACCAAAATGATGGGTTTTCTGCATCCTCCCTGTCACGAGGGAAATTAATATGCACTTTAGGACACCACATACAGAAAAAGAAAAAATCCACCTGACGTTCAGTGTAAAATATTAACTTTGAAATATTTAGTTCCCCTTTCTCATTCACAATGATTCTCCACGAGGGAACCTTCGCAATGACATCTGGGGAAGGAGAAACGTGGCCCTCAACTTTGCGCACTTCTTCCACCCACCTGTTCTGATTTGAGTCTTGAGTTTCCTTTCTTGGCCTTGGATAATTTTCCAACACTACTGAAACAATCTAATAGAAAGGATAAATATATTAATAGAAGTAATAGAGACATCTGGAAAGTAAGATGGACTCAGAGTTTAAGCTACTGCAATAAAGTAGTGCCAAAGTACACTACTGAGAAATACAAAAGATCTATTTCAAGGTAATATCCCGCAAGCGATACAAGTTCAGACATCGGAACATATTCCAGAGATCAAAAGATTTAAGCTAACAATTTTTAGATCTGACAATAAGAAAATAAGGTGGAAAGAATCTGCTTACATTGTCAAACTCGGCTGAAACATGGGAATATTCACCCATGAACCAAACCTGCGACACAGTTAAGTTCTTGTAAGAATATTAATTTAACAACTCCAGGATCAACATTCGATTGCAGGTATCAATTAGTCATGGTATTATACCATTAATCATAGAAGTTACTGGTATAGAATTCAATGGAAAACGAAATCAGGACTTTGAGGAGAATACAAGCCATACACTTACCAATGTAGGATTCTACCTATTCTTTGATTTAATTATTTAAATTTCCATGCTATAATTAATTTTGGTGACTTCAGCAATGCTTTTCAAACAAGATGCTGCAGCCTATTCATGGTAATAACCATTAAACAGTACAACAATGTCTTTAGCAGAAAATGCTAAGAAGCAAACAAGAAGAGAAGTCCATTAGAGTCTTCAGAATTCTGTAATGTCCTAGTCTACATTTTGACTTCTGTATTTGTTGATGATATAATTTTGACTTATTTTTCTTTTGGAACTGATGAAAAACGAACTTTTATATCGTTTGTATTTAACGGAAAACAATTGCCTCCACAGTTTGTATCAAAAGCACACAGTGAATAGACTAAATAGTAGGCAAAATCCACATGAACTCTGTACCATTGCAGAAAGTGCTTTCAGGCCAACTGTGTGGAGATGTTTTGCACTTTCCTCCTCTCCTATTTGCTGTGCCAATTGACACAGTTTTGGGATAAAACCATCTAAATGAAACATGTAAGTACCATCTTTCTGCATAAAACAATAAAGTCAAGAAGGTATAAGATATTGCAAATTTATAAGGTATCACTGGTGCATAAAGATGAACAATAAATAACACCCTATAGTCTGAACGACCCAGTCTAAAGTTGAGGACAACCCCAAAGAACCAACCTGATTATTTACAAAATCAAATAGTGCTTCACATCCGACAATTAGCATGTCATTCTCCCGCGACTGATCTAGGAGAGTTTGTATGATGCTGAGCAGACTATTTGCAAAAAGTGGCCTGACAGATAAAATGATGAAATGAAAATTAGAAATGCATCAGTTTGTGGCCAACACAAAAAAAAATTAAAAAAAAATGAAAGAAGCTGAAAAAGACCAATTTATACTTTTTTAAGCAACAGAAACTTACATGTGTTCCTTGCATGAAACAACCAACTTTTTGTATATACACATAACAACCTTTGCTGACCGAAAATTCTCATTTCTCAATTCCTTATAACACCTCTCTTCAAGTGACTTTGTTATCTGTTCAGCAGATCCAAGAAAGGCTAATGATAAAAATGTAATAGAAAATACTGACTTTAAGCATGAAACAAAAAAGATCTCTTCTACATAGGGAATAGGGGTGTCAAATGGGCGGGTTGCGCTGATTTTGGGGGGTCAAAATGGGCTGAGTCAATAAATGGGCAGGTCAAAAAGTTACTTGGGCTGAGATGGGCTGGGTGGGTTAAAATTTGGATCATAGTCCAATCCACCCAACTCTTACCAAGCTTTAATTAATGTGTGTTATTTTCTGATGAATTATTTAGTTGCCAAATAAGATTTTTTTTCTTATAACATATCAAATAAAAAAGAATTATTTTAAAGANAATGACCAACCCAACCTTAGGCGGGTTGGGCGGGTTGAATGGATTTGGGCTCAAATTGCCACCCCCTAATAGGAAATATGAATGAGGTAGTTTCCTAGCTTTTTCCAGTTTACCAAAATATGAATTTCATTAACGGACAAAGAAACTGCAGAGCTAAATAAAGTTATCCTGAAGATGAGAAAACAAAGTAATATTTTACAAACTTTCAGGAGGTTTTTCATGGATTGTTTCAGAGGGATCATAATTTTCATGAACACCGCAAACGAATATACCTTGGGAATGCGAAAAGGATTTTTTGCAGCATATTCACAAAGTTTTCCAATCTTCCTATCATTTGGTTCTTCTTCCTGCAAAGAATGGACAAATGTCATATACGTGTGTTTGTAGCACAGAAAGACAGCAAGTTTATCGGTTGTCAAATAATCAAATACCACTGTTTCTGGATTTACTCTGTACCTCATATGAACTCAAAAAACTAATGTCAACGGTGTAAACTAAAGGTAAAATAAGCTTGCCAATTTTAAATGACATCAATTTTAAGCACATCAATTCTTCAAATCTAATGCACTTTAATGTTATACGGGCTAAGCTTCTGTATTGTAGTAGCAAGGTAAAACAATTTCGGGAACAGGTTTTTTACATGTTAGTATGGTTAAACTTGAGCTGGATCTAATCTATCATTCCTTATGGCAGATAGAGTTGATGCGTCACAATCAATTAGTATAGAAATTTGTTATATCATGCAGAAGTTCAAATAATAAAATCCCGATTCAGCTTTCTTGGATCAGCATGAACAATCATACATATTCTGCATATCTGCTCATGTGTGACGTCGTAGCCAATTGCCTAGCCAACTTCCACCAAATTCATTTATTGTGAGGCTTCCCTAAAACACAGCAAGACCAAAATCGGATGTGGCCGCTCTAAGAAAACCTAGAATTTTTACATACAGTTCTCCCCATGGACAATGTAAGGGTGGGGGAGTTAATCCCGTGCCATCTTTAACTGAACTTTCACAGACTCATAAGCAAAGCTCAGGTTATTAAGGAACACAGCAGGAAGAGTGCACAAACTTGTTCACCCTTTTGTTAGATACAGCTAGTTGATTAAGTAAAAACAACCAATGCTGCTACTAACTGCCATCAAAATCTAACTTAAAGCAAAAGATGATGACTTCAAGAACCCCTATTAAGTTGAAGTGCTTCATTGCTACAGAGAGAAACTTACATTTAGATTCCAAAAACTGATTAGGGAATTTAACACATAAAAATGAACCAAACAGAAGATGACAGTTTCTTATATCACTTATACAATCCTTGACTAACCTGAGAGCGAGTGAAAATGTCTGAGATCAACTTCTTATACCTCTTAACAGGCTGCCTTGATCTCGTCCGCATCGCAGGGCAGAAGAAACAAAGATTGCCACATGCTGGCAAGACTTGCCTTGAAATCACACCAGATACGCCGTTCATTCTTACTAAAGATTGAATCACAAATTTGTCCTTTTTTTACCCAATTGAGTTAGCTCTCAAAAGGCAAATGCTTTCTTTCCCTCCCTAACCTCTAATAGCTCCAATATTCCTACGCCCTCAAAAATCAGAAAGGGAAAGAAAACAACTCAGGAGCTTGTGGGTACTCCTCCTTTAGTCCTGGTTTACAGCCTACAAATGTAGAATTCAAAAACCACTTTACATCAATATCTCATTAAACCATCACATATCAACAATCTATAATAGCAATTTCATCAAAAGTGTATCTCGATTCTCTCAACTAATCAAGATCATGAACCACCCTTTTCATTTATGGGGTTCTAGAAAACTAGCCAAATTAAGCAAAAGGGTGTTTGGGAATTTGAAAAGGATCAACTTACCAAATTGAGGTTCAAGAAAACTAGAAAACTAGACAAATTAAGCAAAATGGTATCTGGGAATATGAAAAAGATCAACTTTTCAAACCAAATTGAGGTTCAAGAAAGCTAGAAAACTAAACAAATTAGGCAAAAGGGTGTCTGGGAATTTGAAAAAAGATCAACTTTTCAAACCAAATTGAGGTTCAAGAAAGCTAGAAAACTAAACAAATTAGGCAAAAGGGTGTCTGGGAATTTGAAAAAAGATCAACTTTTCAAACCAAATTGAGGTTCAAGAAAACTAGAAAACTAAACAAATTAAGCAAAAGGGTGTCTGGCAATTTGAAAAAGATAAACTTTTTAGACCAAATTGAGGTTCAAGAAAACTAGAAAACTAAACAAATTAAGCAAAAGGGTGTCTGGCAATTTGAAAAAGATAAACTTTTTAGACCAAATTGAGGTTCAAGAAAACTAGGCAATTAAGCAAAAGGGTATATGAAAATTTAAAAAGATCAAATTTTTTTAACCACAATGGGGTTCAAGAAAACTAGAAAACTGGACAAATTAAGCAAAAGGGCATATAAAAATTCAAAAAAAGATGAAAATTTTCGAGATGAATTTGATGATCTGCTTATCAAAGATTTGTACAACACCAAATACCCTGATACATACATAAGACATTTATATGAATTATACAGGTGGAGTCATATATATATGTATGTACATTAATATATTTTATATATATACCTTCAAATGAATGCCTGTAAAGTACAATTCTGATGAAAACTTAAAGCTTTACAACAATGCACTGGATCTCCTGCATTTCTTCCCTTTCTTCGACAACCCTTTCTCCAAATAATTTGACTCTCTCTCTCTCTCTCTCTCCTCTCTTCTCTCTCCTCTATACACACAATTTACAAAATTTTCTTGAAAAATTAGAAAAAATTAAATGATTCTAAATTTAAATGGGGCTGGCCGGACACTAATTAATAATTGGAAATATTAACACACACATACACAGTAAATGTATAAATATTTATAGAAATGGAAACGCGGAATGATGGAATATTGACTTACTGACATGGGGATTTTCTTATGCTTCCAATTTGGCAATTTTTTACAGCTTCACCATTTGCAATTTTTGAGAAAGTTAAGGATGAATAGTTTTATTATTATTATTATTATTATTATTATTATTATTATTATTATTATTATTATTATTATTATTATTATTATTATTATTATTATTATTATTTGTAGAAGAATTCAGAAAAGACAGTTGACCGTTAAACGGCTTTTTTTTGTAAATGGACGTATTTTCTTTTGAGCCCCTAGATCTTTTTTATATACTACTAAGGGACCGTTTGGTACGATCGATAAGGTGAGATAAGATGTGGGATTAAATTTATACCGTGTTGATTGACAGAATAAATTTATCCCAGTATAAGATAAATTTATACTGCCAACCAAATACGGTATAAATTTAATCTTATACTTAATCCAGGATATCTCATCTTATCTCACTTTATCTCATCAAACTTGTGATTATTCTATCCAACCTCTCATATGGTATAAATTAGTAATCCTGGGATAATTTAGTCTGCGTACCAAACGACCCCTTAGAATATCGTGTGTATTAGAATTTAACTTATTTACAATGATAATATAAAAAGCTTAGGTCACTTCTATATATTGTAGATTATATTTAAATTATTAGGTCAATTTTAGTCGTTGAAAAATTTTGCACCGTCAGGTCAAATTTTACCTATTGACTATTGTAAAGGTAAAAGGACAGTCCAATGCACAAAGCATCACGCGTTTACACAGGGTCCGATGAAGGGCCGCACCCTATGGGGGTGTAATGTAGGCAGTATACCCTGATGCAAGCATCTGTGGCTGATTACATAGTTTGAACTTGTGACCTATATGTCACACAAAGACAATTTTACCGTTGCTCCAAGGCTCCCCTTCGACTACTATAAAGATATTTATCTAATTTCACTTTTTTAGGAAGAGTTACCTTTAGACTTTTTTGGTAAAGCATTTTTATAATATTTAGCTATTTAATATGACAAGGGAAATATACTATTTGGAAATATATATGCATAGAACTTTGAAAGGCTTAATACTAAAAACTCTTAAAATTTTGGTTAAATTTGCAACTTGCAGACTTAAATTATGTGGGGGTTCTATTACATTTGAGTTACAAGATTGGTGTTTATTACAAATCGAGCCAAATTGCAAATTGAGCCACCAAATGTGACCATTAACTATCACAATAAATATTCTAATCTTGACATACTTTTTCTTACTTTGTTGACTTCCTCCTCATAACCAAGTCATAATATGTGTCTCAACATTGGTCAGTAAGAGATAAACAATTAAAGTATCTTATATTTAGAAAAAGGAAAATTTTTATATTTACAGCCATTTATTTCTTTCTCTGGTCTGATTACTAATTCTTGTTTAAGCTTTAAAAAGGAAATTATTAAAAAAATCGTACTCATTTATGTTCATTTTCGTTTATTGGCTGTTTCACATTAATTTTACAACTCTTCTATGACTTAAGCAGGTGTCATAGTTATAAAAAATATCAAGTGAAATAGTGAATGGCTTTTTTAAATGAAATTTCAAGAAAATATTGTCCTCTTCCATTTGGAACATATTATTGACCCATGCCTTATATTATTGATTGTGTTTTTGTTTTTAATTTTTAGTTTTGTCTTCTTAACGTTCCTTTCTTCTAATTTGATATTCTCAAGGTTTTGATAGTTGGCCAAATTTCATAGAAATCTTGGAATATTCTACCCTTCAACTACGTGCATATAAACTTAGCTAACGTTTGGACATAAATTTGATTGAAACTTAAAAAATAAATTTTTGAATATGAGATGAAAAATATTTTTTGAAAGTTAAAATTGTGTTTGGACATATATTTTACTTGAAAGGAATTTGTAGTTTTGTGAGTAGAAAACTTCAAAAATTAATCTAGAGCTGTATTTGGGATTTAAAGATTTTTTTTTTTTGTTGAAATCTACCAAAAAATGATTAAAATCTATAAATAAACAGATATTTGAAAATAAAATTTGAATAAAGCTCCCAAATTTTATGTCCAAACGGAATCTTCATCATAACTGGTAGTATTAATTAGTTGGCAAACTTATGATAGAATGACCCCCATAAGTATGTTATTTTATTAATTCTTTTAACTTGAAGATTTTCGTAAATTTAGTTAAATCTTATATATGTGTAAAACATAAGTATAAATAGTGTTTAAATAATGAATCTGTCATTAGTTATTATTTGTAAGGAGAAAGTAAAGGAAAAAGGGACCCTTAGTATAAGTATACTAACTATAATGTAATGATACTAGTAGAAAGAATGACACATGAATAATGATAATTGCTAATCATGAATCTAAATGGATAACTTGCCTTGTAAGAAGGAGTTGGACTAGCAAAAACATTATTATGTTGTCTCCAAAAGGTAAATTCACTTTTGACTTTTGTAACATAAATAAATAAGAACTTTTGTAGCTTTCTTAAATTCAGTGTAATCACACGGTGTCTGAAAAGGATAGTGTGTATGCAAATCTTATCCCTATCTTGAGAAGGTATAAGTTTGTTTCCAATAAACCCTCGACTCAAGAAAAAAGAAAAATCAAAGTGAATCGACTAAAAACTCTATATTTATGTACTTTGGTTAAACTTGAAAGCTTCTATGAGTGTAACTATGTAAAATTGTTATTAGATTAATAAAAAGGAATAATTACCATTTATCATGAAAGACAATTTTCAAATGAGTATTTCAGCAGACAATTTCTGTGAACTCCAACAGATTTTGAGTGGATTGGATTTGCATTTCATGCTACTATAGCTCACTGAAAACATGACCCTTGATACAAGGGTATGAAGGTTGAAAATTAGGGTAAAATATTAGTGGTTAAGCGCGCATGTCTCATTTTCATGCCGTAGTATTAGTATTAGTCTCGTATTTTCGTATCTCCTTATCTGCTGATTTCTTTTACTATAAGTTGTTCTTCCCACTTCGATTAATCTATCACATTTGCTTGCAGATTTCTTTTACTAATCTATCACATTTGCTTGCAGATTTCTTTTACTATAAGTTGTTCTTCCCACTTCGATTAATCTATCACATTTGCTTGCTATTGTTACTACTTGTTGTTTCTGCTTCTTTTTCATTTTTTTCTTGAGCCGGAGGTTTATCAGAAACAGTCTCTCTACCGTTGTAAGGTAAGGGTAAGGTCTGCATACACTCTGTCCTCCCCAAACCTCACTTTGTGAAATTATATTGAGTTTTTTGTTGTTATTTTGTTACTAAAAACTGAAAAAGTTGAAACTGAAAAAAAAAAAACTGCTTGCTTTATATATCAATTGGATATGTATAATGAAACAGAAGATGGTGAAAGAAAGAGAGAAACCAAAGGAACATCCACTTTGTAAAAGAAATCAATCTCATGTTCACAAGAAAAATTAGATGGCTAAAGTCATTTTGATCTTCAACCAGACTCAAATCATTGAGATAGTCTAAGAATAAATGGACTTCTTGTTTATGAAAAAGAATTAACAAGAAAAAGGTATTATGTACTTTTGCTTCTTTACATGGACCTCCATTTAAGCCTTAGAAGTTCCTTTATGTTCCCTTTCAACATGTTCCACAAGGGCCACAGGATCTCGAAAACCTTTACTACACCTCGGGCACACATCGACTGCCAAGTTCATGACACCATTCTTCTCGTGGATTTTCTGAACGTGATCGATGAGAGCTTTGACCGTAGAAAATCTTAGATGACATTGTGGGCATTGCTCTACTTGACTGCTGGTGTTCGCGCTGTGGCTGGTGATACGGCCGCTTTGCCCCGTCTGTTGTGTTTGACTAAATTCACTGCTCAGCTTTTCCTTTACAGATGACACTACCTTGAATAGGCTCGTGGTCCATCTTGAGGACGACGTGGACTGAGCTTTCTTGGGCTCTTCTTTATTTCCATTCAGAAAGTTCATGAACGGGAAAGCAGCTTCTGGTTTCTTAGGTCCGGGGCAGCTGTGGTCAGGTCCAAACCGGTGCTTCAAACAATGATCAACAGTACAATCCCTACATTTGATTGTGTTGGAGAAAGTCAAGAGCTCTCTGCAGCGCGGTACAGGACATTTCTTTTTCTTTGTGGCTTTTTCGTAGTTTGATGGATCACACTCGGTGTTCACATGTGATCCCCAAGTTATGTTTGGGTCTTCATCAGGAATAAGACGTACGCCTTTTACACAGAGCGGGCAAATGACTACCGTGACATTATTCTTATTAGCTGTTGGACAGTCGTGTCTATTATAGCTCCGATGTTCTAGACAAAACACCTGCAAGGAGTTATTTTTATGTTAACATATATTCAGCATCCGAGATTGGAGATTACAATCACTGATCAAATTTTAAAGTCATACAGTTCCAAATGAACCAACAAAACAAAGAAGAGAAAAATACAACAGCAACTGAGAAAACTATGCAAGACAAGACAAGAGAAATAAGTCAAACGAAACCCGGAGGCAAAATCTACAAGCCAAAATAGGGAGAAATATTTTTTGATCCCATCAGTGTTGGTTCTCTTTTCAAACTTGTATTCAAAATGGGTGTCCATATTTTGTTCCGTAACGTAAAAGATTATAAATAAAAACCCAAGAAAGATATAAATGAAAAAATAGGATGAGGTTTAGGACAACACATACTTTTGCGATGCGGAAATGGCCCTCATATAGACAAAGTTGAGTCCATCATACCGAATATCATCTACGCAAATTTTGCCCCTAAAAGATTTAAAACTTATGATACTCACCCAAAATCCACCAATATAGACAAATTTCATTCAAAGCCAGTACAACAGGAAGGGTGTCAGAGAGGGAAAAACACCAACTCTTAAATGATTCTAATCAGAATATTTACACATTAGGAAGAAGTGAGGACTTATTTTCTCACTTTTGGTAAGCTAAAAGCAAGTGAAGCATCAATTGCATTGACAATGAACATAATTACATACATCGATACAGGATATATCCACCATAAAATTAATAAAATAGTAAACTTCATGTTTTCTTTTACTGTTATCCACTATATTGGTAAATCTATCCTGCCACTAAATTCAAGCATATGAAGCAGTATCTGCCAATAAGGATGGAGGAATTGTACGCTTGAATGAGAAAACGAAGATAAGGTTAACTAAATTTTAAGACATGCGCATGTATAGCTGAATCATAATATGCCATATAATGCAATAACTTCCCAGGAGAGAGTTGCTAAAACAAAAGCAGTATATAGAGCTTAAAACCAGTACATACAAGTGGGAATTTTAAAAATGAAAGGAAACATAGATTCTGTTCTATGCTTCATCTGTCTAGCCTGTCGAGCCAATACGGGCTACTCAAGTTTAGACTTTTTAAATACAGACTTGAAATCAAACCAGATCAGGCAAGAGAATAAAGACAATCCCTACGAAGAAATCAAAGAAATGCCTTCCCTAACACGATAATAGAATTCAATCCACCTAAAAAGAAGTTATTGACTCAACTGGACCAATTTTCACCTAAAAGTAGAGAGAATAACACCTGAAATCTCCATTGCGGAAGCCACAATGCCACATTAGAAGTTTGGGAACACTTCACTTTAAAATTCAGAATAAAGACAGACACAGAGGTAAAAGTTTAATCAACCATTGAAGCACGTCAACTACTGGTACTCCAAGATACACATTACACGAGAGTAACCATGGAAATACTAAGATCAACTGTTCGATATTCTAAACCTCGTCCTCTGTTTGTAGTATCATACGAACAATTGATCACAAGCTTATATACAATAACTGATTTAATTTTTTTCTTTCCTTCTTATATTTTGATATGGTAAACCCCAATCCTGAACCCTCTTATCCAGGAGCCAAAAAAAATGGTCCTTTCCCACTTTGCTTCTCTAATCTCAACCTTATGGTTGGAGGTGGAGTTGTGGTTGGAGGTGGAGGGTGCTAACTGCTGTTCAAATTTCAATATCGGATTACATCATGAAAAAGGTTGTTTTATCTTTAACTGTAATTGCTACAAAAATCCTCATCAATATATCAGATTGTGCCATATCTTGGCTCCTAGGCTTTCAATGGAAGGAGGAAAAGCATAAAATGCTCAAAATTAAACAGAAAATCCTTCCCATTTCCTTCAACCCAATATCTCGCCGCACAACACAAATCTTCACCAAGAATATCAAATTATAATTTTTTTCTTCTCCCACCCCACCACAACCAAACAACAACAACAAAAAAAAAAAAAAATTGAAACTTTGATAAAATCCCAAATCAAAAAAACTCAAAAGGACAAAGATTTCAACACAAAATTGACCCAAATATCTCGAAATCATTTATAAAACGGAAAATGGCACAAATGGTATAGATTGAAAGATTGAAACTTTAATAAAAACCCAGCTCGAAAAAACATAAAAAGTAAAAGAATTTCAGCTCAAAATTGACAGTTAAATCATGTATAAAAGAAAAATGGGACAAATGGCACAATTATACCCCCAAAAAAAGCTAGCTAAAAGGTTCTTGTTTTAGTGTGGACCGAAAAGATTGAAAATTTGACCAAAATCCAGATGAAAAAACTTCAAAACAATAAAGCTTTCAGCACAATATTAACAAAAAAAGATAATAAATAAATAAAATGGCACAAATTTATAGAGACAAAGAGAGAAAAGGAGAGGGAACCTTGTGACAGCAATCGCAGGTGAAAGGCAAGAAATCAATCAGCCGGCAATCCTCAACAGAGCAATGCTTTCCCAGATTTGGGAATGCCGGCGTTCCCATTTAATTGTAAAAAAAAATTATGTCAAAAGAAGAAAAAGGGAGCGCAAAATCTTGAAATTTGATAAATTGTTATGGATTATCTGATATAACTGGAAATGGGGTTTCTTTTAGAGCCTCTGTGGAGACAGCTGGAGAGACAACGGTGGAATGTTTGAGAAAAGTTCAACGTTGTCTGTCCAAAATTGCAATGCTACTTTTCTCTTCTTCTTTCTTTTGGGGAGGAGGTGGGAGGAGGTTGAAGAGGGGGCAGGGGAGGAGGGTGGTGTACATATAGCCATTTTCGGGTATGTTATTCGGAGATTAGTCAATATTTTTTTTATCCTGAAATTTTCAGCTAAAGATCTTAACTTCACCATAATTAAGGTATGTTAGTCATTTGCGGGTATGTTAGGACGCACTGACAAATCTTTAAATAGCAGTCCTTTAGAGTGACTACGTGGTATCACTTCTACCCTAAACTACCTAACAAATACAATCAAATACCTTTTCATAGTCTCATTTATTTCGATATTTTATTATAGTAAATTATTGTTATAGAGGACATATATTCATCGGAGAAGATTTCAACGGCCACATTGGCGCGACGTCTCGGGGTTATGGATGTACATGGTGGCTTCAATTTTGGAGATAGAAACGGAGGAGGGACTTCTCTGCTGGCTTTTGCTAGATCATTTGATTTGGTGATAGCTAACTCCAGTTTCCCGAAGAAGGTGGAACACTTGGTCACCTTCCAGAGTTCGGTTGCCAAGACCTAGATTGATTACCTATTCTACAGGAAGTCCGATAAAGGTATCTGCACGGATTGTAAGGACATCCCAAGTGAGAACCTTGTGACACCCCACAGGTTCTTAGTCATGGATCTTGAGATCGCGAGGAAGAGGAGGAAGAAAGTCGGGTATGTTCAACCTAAGATCAAGTGGGGAGCCTTGACTGAAAACAAAGCGCAAGAGTGGGGGGTTTAAGCTGCTGACGAGAGGGGCTTAGAGGAATAATGGGGACGCGAGCGCTATGTGAACTACGGCGACATATTGCATTAGGGAAGCTGCTAGAGAGGTATTAGGGGTCTCGAAGGGTTACTCGGGTGGCCACAAAGGAGACTGGTGGTGGAATGGTGAGATCCAAGGAAAAGTGGAGACCAAGAAAGCGGCGTATCTGAAGCTAGTTGAAAGCGTAGACGAGGAAGAGAAGAGGACAAATATGGAGTGTTATAAGACGGCTAAGAAGGAGGTAAAGTTAGTAGTTACGGCGGCTAAGACTGCAGCTTATGGCCATTTATATGAAGAACGTAAGGGCAGAGGAAAGAGGCGGGGATAAGAGGTTGTTCAGGCTAGCCAAGGTAAGAATACGGAAGACTCGTGACTTTGACCAAGTGAAGTGCATCAAGGACGAAGAAGGTAAAGTTTTGTTTGATGAGTAGCATATCCGTTAGAGGTGGCAAACTTACTTTCATGGTCTCTTGAACGAGGAGAGGGACAGGAACATTGTGCTGAGGGAATTGGAAGCCTCCGAGAGTCATGGTGACTTTAAAGATTGTAGACAAATAAGAGTTGAGGAGGTCGAGGGAGCTATGTGTAAGATGAGCTAGGGAAACGTTGTCGGCCCAGATGAAATCCTGGTGGAGTTTTGGAAGAGTGTGGGCAGGGAGGGCTTAGAGTGTTTCACTAGATTATTTAATATCGTTTTTAGGATGAAAAAGATGCCCGATGAATAGAGGTGGAGTACGATAGTTCCTGTGTACAAGAAAAATGGTAATATCCAAAATTGCAACAACTGTCGTGGTATCAAGCTGCTTAGCCATACTATAAAAGTTTGGGAGAGGGTGGTGGAGATGCGGGGGAGGAGGGAATGCGTCTATTTTCGAGAACCAATTCGGGTTTATGCCGTTGCGCTCGACTACGGAAGCCATTCACCTTGTTAGGAGATTGTTGGAGAAGTATAGGGAGAGGGAGAGGAAGAGGGACTTACATATGGTTTTCATCGACTTAGAAAAGGCCTATGATAAAGTCCTGAGGGAGGTCTTGTGGAGATGTCTGAAGGCTAGATGTAGGGTAATTAAGGACATGTATGAGGGAGCTAAGACCAGGGTGGGGGCAGTAGGAGGGGACTCGGATCACTTTCCGGTCATGATGGGGTTGTACCAAGGGTTAGTTCTTAACCCTTTTTTGTTTTCCCTGGCGATAGACGTATTGACGCACCACATCCAGGGGGAGGTGCCATGATGCATGTTATTTGCATATGACATTGTATTGATGATGAGGCGCAAGGTGGCATTAAAGCGAGGTTAGAGATATGGAAACAGACCCTAGAGTCTAAAGGTTTCAAGTTGAATAGGACTAAGTCGGAATACCTGGAGTGTAAGTTCAGTAGGATGACTCGGGAAGTGGAAGGGGAGGTGAGGTGAGGCTCGATTTATAAGTCATCCCTACGAGAGGAGGTTTTAAGTATCTTGGGGCTATTATACAGGGGGATTGAGGGATTAACGAAGATGTCACATATTGTATTGGGGCGGGATGGATGAAATGGAAATTTGCTTCTGGTGTTCTGTGTGATAAGAAGGTCCCAACAAAACTCAAAGGTAGGTTCTACAGAGCGGTAGTCACGCCGACTATATTATATGGGGCTGAATGTTGGCCAGTCAAGAGCTCCCATGTCTAGAAGATAAAAGTAGCAGAGATGAGGATGTTGAGATGGATGTGCGGGCACATAATGTTAGATAGGATTAGGAATGAAGTTATTCGAGATAAGGTGGGTGTAGCCCCAATTGAGGACAAGATACGGGAAGCGAGGCTTAGATGGTTTAGACATGTGAGGAGGCGGAGCACAGACGCTCCTGTAAGTAGGTATGAGAGGTTGTTATTGGAAGGCCTAAGGAGAGGTAGATGTAGACCAAATAAAAATTGGGGTGAGGTGATTAAACAAGATATGGCGCAGCTTCACCTGGCCGAGGACACGACCCTTGATAGGAAGGTGTGGAGGTCGAAGATTAGGGTAGTATGGTAGTTAGTTTAGTGTTCTCCCTATCATACCAGTTGTATTAGCACGTACTTTAGTATTCTCTTGGCATTAGATTTGTATGACTACCTCACATTTCTTTCATTGCGGTTTCCTGATTATTTGGTTGTTATTTATACCGCTTTTACATGGCGATTCTTATTTTTCTCTTCTTTAATGTGGTGCTTATGCTTCACTGAGCCGATGGTATGTTGGAAATAACCTCTCTATCTCCACAAGGTAGGGGTAAGGTTGCGTACACACTACCCTCCCCAGACCCCACTATGTGAAATTATATTGGGTTTATTGGTGTTGTTGTTGTAGAGGACATATATTATAATATAACATAAAAATCGATTCCGAAAAAAAATTAACTTTTATAATGAATGATTGTTATATAGAGATATTGTAGCGATTTTTTTTCCTTTTTATTTTATTTTATTTTCGAGAGGACACAAGGGGGGAGAAAAGATTAGTTGAGTGTAGTAACTATTTTCGGTTAATAGATAACTTGACACTCCTATACTTGCACGGATTTTTAATTTTCCACGTCCGAAAATATTCGTCGGTCGAATAGCCATTCTACGGTTTAATTATTTTTAGGAAATTTTACCTCCTATAGCAAACTATTACACCTTATTTATTATAAATCAAAATAATTTTAAAATATTATTATTTATAGCTACGATTTACCTTCTATAGCAAACTATTACACCCTATTATTTCGATTTGGATTCTGTCGTCTCCACTTTCTTTCTCTTCTTTGCAATTTAGTTACATACAATGATACAAATATATTATATTATGTACAAATACACTCAAATACATTATATTTTTGTAAAATTACATTATTTTTCGCATGTATTTATGTATTATGAAGGGATGTATTTTTTTAATACAGTCGAATATCACTGTGTTTTGTGATATTTTATTATTTGAATAGAGTCGAATTGAATACGGTAAATTAAATACAGTGTATAATAGTGAATAATGAAAATCTGTGAATTGAATACAATGTATACTGTCGAATTGAAAAGAACGGTATACACCATATTTCTTGATTACCTCACTGTATTTATAAATACAGTCGTGCGAATACATGGAATACATCACAACGAAATTTATGTAGAATTGATTTTGTTGAATTAAATTAGGAGTAATACAGAACACACTAATTGATATCCTTTCTCCGTTATTAAACAGCTAGACTCCCTTATTTTTAGGCGAATTTCGTTACTGTATTCATGAATACAGTAGCGCGAATATTGTCGCACATCTCGACTCTCATATTTTTTAGGCGAATTTCGCTACAGTATTCATAAATACAATAGCACGAATACAACGAATACAATCACGTAACAACTAAATAGTAGTTATATGAAATAATTATGTATATGATAGTTATAGGAAATTAATAGCCACTAAATAATAGTGGTTGTTAAAAATTACTCTTTTTAAATCCTTTTTATGCAATATCAATAGGTCATCAACATAGCATTGATGGGCCCACAAGTTCCATTTATTTGCAATCATACCTCCCCTTTTTAGATTATTTATAGTCATTTCCCTGTGCAAACGTATAAGAGCCTGATTGGATTGGTTTAATAAAGTAATTTTCCAGCAGAAATAACTTTTAAGCTAAAAAACAATAAGTTAGGATTGCCTAGCTTATTGCTTTTGGCTTGTTTTAAACAGTTTTAACTTATTTTAAGCACTTTTTGACTTTGTCAAACACTAAAAAAAATCTTAAAAAAACTTAATTGACTAACTTTAAAGCAATTCAAAGACTCTCTAGGTCCTTTTTGATGACTTACAGCCATACCCCTGTGCAAACATATACGTCGCCTGTAGAAGAGGCGACCTACTGTTCAATTATTAGTTTTCTTTCTGTTTTTACATTATCAACAGGTCAGCATATATGGGGCCCACAACTTCCTTTGTTATTATTTACAGTCATACCCTCCTTTATTATTATTTACAGTCATACCCCTGTGCAAACATATAGGTCGTGTGTACAAATTATGCGTTATAAGATATCCGGTCATAAAGACAGAGAACCTAAAATCTTCAATTCTTGTCCATTTCAGTTTTCTTGGTCAGCTTCTTCAGTATTTGATTGTATTATTTAAGAGACAGCATTGAGATGAAATCAAAAATGACATTGTTGTAGGATATGATGATCAAACCTGCGACTTTCA